AAATTCGTGATATAATGCTGCTGTACATACGTATTGAAATCAGTACACTTTAATATTATACGAGAAATGTGTAAAAATGAATATTTCAGTTTTCGGAAACTCGAAACTGAGGCCCGATGGCTCGCTGAACGCTGTAGCGATAGCGGTAGACCCTTGGAAAGCCCTCCCGATGGGCTCCCGAGGGATCGGGAACAATAGAAAACCGTTAGTCACAGCTTTGAAACGAGGATGGGAGCCCTTAGGAATCCCTGGGCCCCGAGAAACTGGTTTATGGTTCCCCCTTCTCTCTCTCTTTTCCTTTGCATGTTCTTACCTGCTCTTATACCTAAGTCCACTGTAAATTTTCATCAAAGATAAACGTACTAAAACATTTACAGTGTCAATTTAAATAATGGATTTTATATAGCTGTTTTATTATTTTACCGTCAAAATTTTTACTCCGCAGGTACTATTATACTTGTTTCTATAAATGCATAAACAAATTTAGTCATGGGTCGAATGAACAATATCTACTCAAGTATACATATTAGGTATCGATGTACGTGCCACTTCTGTCTTTCAGGATCTTAAGGAATTCAATTTTACAGTATTGGGCGGAACACTGGATATTCTTAAAATGCCTTTTGAGCGAGAAGATCCGGAATTCCTAGAAGGGCCACCACAGTCGTTTCACATTGTCCACATCCTCCCTTCGGATCCCTTCTTTTTTCTAGCAATTTCTTCTGCTTCTGCTCTCTTACATTTTTCATTTCAGTTCACTCTCGTCTTCTGGTCCTAATTCTCGAACGTTTCCGTTCCCCCGTCCGACCCATCGTATTTTCTATTTTTCTATTTCCTATCGATTTATTCTAATGCACAGTGCATAACGTTAGACCCACCCAATATTTGTAGTAATAGTGTTACAAATTGCTTTCGTATGCACGCCAGAATTTAATATTAATGTAAAAACGATGAAATTTAACAAACTCCGACAGAAACGGTGCAATGGTTCGTGGTCTACGCTGATACTCAACGACAATAGGAAACTCGGATGTTAGTAGACACTGGGCTTAATACTCTAGCCATTTTACGAGCTCTGTGCTGGGAAATGCGTTGGGGCATACCTGAAATGAAAATAAATCCTCGGCTGGGTTAATACCGAGAGGCGTGTAGACCCTCCGCCCCCCTAGAACCTTTCACAGAAACAGCTATTTCTTGCCTGCGCACATTGTTACAAGGAGCGCAATCAAGCGATTAACTTTTCCCAAGGACGGATCCTTGTGACAAGGTGAAGACCAGTTTGGTCATCCTCCGAAAGAAAAGTGGTCACGACGTCCGAGGAGACTTTTCCATAACCAGTTTTACTTGGCCCAGATATGGCGATGCGTAGCTAACTACGAGTCCTCGAGATTTTTCTTTTTTTTTTCCACCGTACACGTATTATTACGATGAAGCGAAAAAATGTTTAATACAGTGTTTCCGAGTCTCCTCTTACGAAAACGTGGATACACCAGCAAATTACGATCACTTGTGCAATTATGCTGTACGTATGCATTTATTTGTACGTAGACAATTATAACTAAAGATTAGAGGGTGTAATAAAATTATTAGAAGAGAACGATTACTCCGGTATATGTTGGTACAAATCCAATAAATGAGTGCACAAGTCACATAACAAACGAGTTTTCCTTTCACGCTCAAACCGGCGAGAGTAAGAGTGATCTTACAACTTTCGTTCCCGGGTCCAGGGACTCGTGATGTCACGAATGCGAGTAAACTCGCGTTATCGTAACATCCGGTGAAAGGTTCTACAGAGACGATTAGGAAACGGAGGTAGCATCGCGTATTTAATGCAACAGCGTCTTGTTCTCACAATTTTCCTTTAAA